GTTGGACAATACTGTGGCCACGGTTACGACAACGGCTCGTATAGAAGGGCTCGGCAAAAAGTTCAATTCAATCTATTATCTCTCGTTAATATTAAAATTTCTTAGTTCTTTTAAGACTCTTAGAGCCAGAAGGGCCTCACTTATACAAAGCAGCGGTGAGGCTCAAAGCCTGGGGCCACGGGCGCCTAATGTTTCCAACTAGTTTTTGTGCCCTTGTGTAACACCGTTGGGTATGAGGACCGGTCCGTGCCGCGATTTTGTGATACTCGGTGAGATAACGGTCAAATCCATCCAAATGCAACAACCTGAATGAGGGTATCACGAGTAGCCACGACAGCCCTCTAATCCACAACGAGAGCATGTTGGTACTCCAAATGAGACGTACAAGCCTGTCTTTATCCAATATTGCAGCTTACTAAGAGAGTTGTAATAGGTCACTAAGGGATTGATGATGCGTCACATTACGTGTGCTATTTCTGACTTGTCAATCGGCAAACGACTTGTCGAGCTCTAACATTTTCTCATTTCTATGGGACCGCATATATACATACCGTTGCCGCGCCTTCTAGGCAAATCTTACCAGAATACGCTACGATTTAGATCATTATTTTGCAACCATCTCTTAAATATTCATCTCGCAGCCTAGTTACTACACTGTAGCAACTCTTCAAGCGAATCAAGATGTCCGCTACCACCGAAACTTTCTTTTTTGGCTCTAATTGTCACCGCGACATCGCTCCTTCACCGCGACGTTATCACAGTTCAGAATGACATTAGGACCAGACATTACTCAGAAAATTGGCCCACAAATAAAACCCCAGCCTCCACAATCATACATGTATTGACCACATGCAATTTCCAGCAAGTGGCCCAGTAGGCGCAATCGCTATTCACAGCGACGTACTTGCACTCGTCGCTACAGTGAATACTGCAACCAAAAATGTTAAAAGCTCAGGATCCTTTGGAAAAGTATCTGGCACTATTATAATTGCCAACATCCCGCTTCAAGTCCCTAATTCATTGGCTCCACTGGTTGCTATCGAGGCCCAAGATTCTTCTTGGGCCGACATACTAGATGGAAATGCTATAATGCTGGGTGATCTACAGTCTTTGAGGACGGTTTTTAGCAACCACTGCGACGCAAGAATAGCAGCGTCGCCCCTGCTCCTGAAATCTGCAGCGATTTCCCTTAAGGCTCAGATCACTGGCGCATTTACGACTGCCATAGCCGCGTACGCTGCCCTTTAGCTGCATGTTGGACATTGCGTTATAGGATGCTGCGGCTCCTAGCAACCTCAAGGTGGCTTGCGTTCGGAGAAGCACGTATTGGGGGGTTGAGCTGCATTGACCGGATGCTTCACAGGGCGTTGAGCAAGGATAGGAGATGGAATATGGTACTTCAATTGGGATGCAATGGGCGCGCGCTTATCCAAGAGATACACAAGTGTGACAACACATATCGCGTCTTCCGGCTCTATGCAGGGAGTTGTGGCCTTATCGTTAGTCATTGCAGATTGAATAAAATGTCTTTGTGTTTCGATGTATTAGGCCGGGCCATGGCAGTGACAGTGCAGCACCACAACATCCAAAATCTATAGGTCAAAGGGTCCCTGCAGCCGGAAGTCTATTTCCCGGATAGGGCCCCTCTGGGCCTGTCTGAGCCCGTCTCTTCAGGGTTCATAGGCTGTCAGAGGTTGGAAACTGGGATATTATGTGATCTACAGTATTATAGTCTCTGGACAGGTCATAGCAAGACTTCTATGCCGTCATGCTGATCCAAGGAATGCTGCAACCAAACCCTTTCACGCAAGAACTTCCCTGGACTGGGGAAGTTCCTACTTGAAATTCTCTTGTGACTATGACGTCCGATAGTATGCTGGCTTCGCCAGGGGGCCTCTATTGGCCGCCAATATATCCGGCCTCTTGATAGAATATAAATGACTGAATACGAAAGCATGATCGAGGAATTGGCAGTACAACAGACGTACAGCCAAGCGTAGAGTTTGGGCAGCCAAAATCTGCCCCCTCTGAAGTGTTATAAAATACTAACTAGGAAATGTCGCGATCGAGTAAAGGATCTCTTTGACTTGGCGTTAAGTCTTTCAATTCGGATAATATTCTCAAGGTGTTTAGGCACACCAGCTGTTGAGACGATGGTGCAAACAATCACGATTGGAAGCTATGGACCGCATTGAACAGTCGAATTGATCCTCGATTGAATCTACCTATTGAGGGAACTGGAGCCTTCTTTCTAGTTGAGCATCCAAAAGGCCATCTTTCTGTAGGTTTAGCTGACTAGCTTCTAACTTGAATCTCACAGCCTAGTTTGAACCTTCCAGATGATGAGGCCTTGCCAGATGACTCATTTGATGACCTAGATTACATACTCGTTGGCACCAACGCTGTGCATGTGTTGGAAGAGACAGGGCCTCTTTTTTGAACCTCTTATTCACGATAGTTGCTTTTTCTAGGGCTCGGGTTCAAAAGAGCCCTAGCAGGGGTTTTCAGGAGCTCTCTGACTAGGTATTAAAGGGATCAAATTTGCAGGGCCTCCAAAGATAACCTTCATCATCATCACCAATCCTCGGCAAAGGAGCGATGTTGGATACATTCCGAGGAACTTTTTTTCCGCCAGATATCCTTTGACAGTTGAAGAAGAGCAGTATACCGCTCTGAGACGATTTCTGGAGTCCTTTTTGGCTATTTCCTGCGCTGAATACATGTTGTCTCATTTAGAAAGGAGGATAAAGCCCCCCCGGTAAGGACCCGGCGTTTTCTCCCAAATTAGGTGAAGCAGTGGTTAGTCTGCGAGGATGAAATCTGGTTAATCCAGCAGCATCTTTCTAGAGTCGAGCAAATTTTGAAAGACAGGGCCTATGCGGCTTGGGGGGACATGTTTGCGGTATTGGTTGCCTCCCAATGCATTTGACCACGGCTGAAATCTACGTCAAAGTCTGTCTGGTGCATATCTGCTCCATACACAGCCTAAAGAATCTTCTTTAGTTACCTTGTCGCATAGTTGTGTGTAGCTATTGTGGGAAAGCGTCCTAAGCACCCGTAACTACTCTTAGCATTTTGAGCTGTCATCTTAAAGGAATTATACTGCTGGGGATACCCAGCTCTTTAGTGTCTCGCGACATAGTAAAGTAGTCAGAAACTCATGTTGTGTCCACGTGCCGCGACACCCGAGATGCCATGGGGGGCTGCCGCCACCAACCCACCTCATTTGCGTTATCTATAATTGAGGGGAGAGGAACTAGCAGGGTTTCGATTGTCCTAGGGGTGGTTTACTCCAGCTAAAGCATTGGACAATGTGGCGGCGTGCTTTGGGTAACGTCTACCAATCCAAGCTCGCTAGCATCCGACATGCCTGACAGGGTTAGGACAGGCAAATTCTCTTTTAAGATAACAAAAGCCAGGCAAGTCGTCACAGCGGTTGTTTTTACCTAAGAAATATACCGGAATATCAGCAAAGTCCTTCGAGGATATACCCGCTGCGGAAGTCACGGCTCGTGGCTCTGTTTCGACGAGTCAGATCAAATCGATCTCAACTCCACAGAACCCCATGGCACGCACCGACGGGCTGGTACGTACCCATTGCAATCCCCATCTACAGCTAGCAAAAACAGTATGTGTCCGGCCCAACCAGGGTTCTTGGGCGACGTTGCAATGACAACCCGAAGCGGGTTAACAGCGGATCAACTGATGGCAGAATCGGGGCATAGTACGCGACACGGAAGTTTGGGAGCATGGCATGAACTAGAATGGCGTTTTCGTTTAAGTTACACAGCGAAGCATAATTACCAGGCCATGTCCCCGCGGGTTTGACTGCCACACCATGGGGCCATGGTCCATGGACGCATGGTGGTGGGTTGGCAACGCCATATCAAAAGGCCCTTTCTCCTCGTCGGAATTATACGGCTCTACGGCTCAGCAATCACTCAAGCGGAAGAAGCAAATGGTCGTCGGGCATTATTCTGCGAATGGACTTGTTGGTGGCAATCAGAGGCGTGGTGGCTTCGGTCTGGTCCTGTTTGGCGCATTTGGTTGCACGACGCCTTCGCCCCCTGCCCTAGGTGGGCATCGCCTATCACAGACGTTGGTGAGCCTTTAAAGTGCTAAAGTATGTCACTGCGATATCTTCCTTGGTTAATTACTTGGGCCCTGGCCAAAATATGAACAATTTCGCCATGTGGCATGTCGGCCTCCACAGCAACGATCCATGTACGCCCTGATCTGCTCACGATCTGTGCCAAGCAGTTTCCTCTTGGCATGCTTAAAGAGCACTGACATGTTCACGGTCGGAACCATACCTGTCAAGACGGTGGCATTGGGGCAATGGCTTCACATAGCAGTTGGAACTGGTGGGCGCAAGTCTAGACACAGTTGTAGTTGGCTGCGCACAACCAAAAATTGCAATATATCGCGCGTCTCTACCATCGTCCTTCTCCCAGACCAATTACTTGTTTTAACCTGCTCCCCATTTTAGTTGAAGTTGACGCCTTCGTCATGTTTCAGCAGGGGTGTTGTTGATAGGAGCATACCAGACCCGTTGCGGACGCAATCTCAGGCCAATATCACACCAATTTAAAGCCACCAGGGACTTTTTGTGAGGCGTCCTCGTGGCTCGATAACCCCAGGTCCGCCTTGGCCAGGCTCTGCCAACGCTCCAGCTTTGCTGGAACAGGAAGGTCGCTATGGATAACCGGCACAATGTCGATTCTGGAAGCGGGGGGCTTGGAGACAAAGGCCCCCGTGGCGTCGAATCAACAGCCAGACAGACTCAGCAGCTTATGTAGGTTTAGTTTCACGAGTTTCCAGAACCCATCCTGCAAGACTGCTGGAGATAGGCCGCAAAGCAACAAGTCTCCAGAGATACAAAAGGACCGTGAAGCGCAATTCAGTGATACAGGGTGAGGTTTGAGCCTTATTAAGACCCTTCCCTGTGTATGTTTCATATTTTTTAGAAGCTGAGCCAGCAGCGTTCAGTCACTCCAACCATGGGTATGTATCTTGAATGCAATCACAAGTGGTCCTTTCTAGGTTGAGCCTTTGATGTTTTGTTTCATGAAACCAACTAACACAGCGCTTTCGCTTAGCGATAGAGAAGGAACCTCCAGTGGAACGTCGGCCAACTACTACGGCCGAAGAGAAGCACAGCCCAGGGTCCGTCAATGATTTTGATGTCATCCACGAGCATGGCCACGGCAACAATGAAGTTGCTATCCTGAGAAAAGACTACGAGGATAAGCCGACGGACGAGGAATTTGCCACTCTCCGACGCGTCCCTGGAAAGATTCCCACGGTCGCGTACCTTCTCTGTGCGGTTGAGTTTTGCGAACGTGCTTCTTACTATGGTAGGTGAACAGCGCAAACGAGGGTTCGACATGGATGTTGAAAGCAGCCGCTGACACAAATTTCGCTAGGCTGCGCCCAAATCTGGACAAACTACATCAACAGGCCTCTGCCCAAGGGAGGAAATGGCTATGGTGCTGTGGCAGCTGGAAGTCAGAGTACTCAGGGTGCCCTAGGCATGGGAGAGGCCATTGCCGTAAGTTTTCGCCTGAGTCGCTTTTATCATTGCGCCCTCGGGGTAACTTCCATTGTCATTTAGCACTGACCGAGTTGTGCGTGCCATAGAATGCCACCACGCAGTCGTTCAGTTTGCTAGCCTACTGCCTCCCACTCTTTGTTGGGTATCTCGCCGACACACGATTTGGCCGATACCCCATGATTTTCTGGGGTGTCATCATCTGTGGTGTCGGGCATATTCTTATCGTTGCAGGCGGTGCGAAAGAACTCATTGCCAATGATACTGCCAAGATCCCCTTCTTCCTCGGCGTATATATCCTGGCTATTGGAGCCGGTAAGCAGCACTTTTTCATCCCAAACTTGTCAAGTCTATCAGTTAACGTGGTCATAGCAATGTTCAAACCCAATGTCTCGCCTTTGCTACTTGACCAGATGAGATCCCACGTACCGAAAGTAGTCACACTCAAATCAGGTGAGAGAGTGATTGAGGACCCCGAGCACTCTACTGAGAGAGTCATGTTGTGGTTCTATCTCCTCATCAACATTGGCGCCTTCATGTCCACGGCAACCTCATACTCTGCAAGATATGTAGGCTGGTGGTTGGCCTTCTTGCTTCCATTGCTTCTCTATCTTCCCCTACCTCTTCTCTTGTTGTGGTTGAAGCCACGCCTCGTTCTTCACAAGCCTGGCGGCTCTGACCTTCCCAATGTGCTCCGAGCCATTGGTCACGGTATGGCTGATGGCGGCATCTTCAGAATCGGACGCGCAGGGTGGTGGGAAAATGCCAAGCCATCGGTCAGGGCCCAAAAAGGACTATCCCCTGAGACTCACTACAGCGATGAGTTTGTCGTGGATGTGCAGCGGACTATGCAGGCAACTGGCATGTTTTGCTTCTTCCCTGTTCAATACTGGAACGACAACGGGTATGTTTGTGTAGGCTTGCCTTTTGAAGCACCGATAAAAAAAAAAAAAAAAAAAAAAAAAAAGGCCATGCTAACTTTGGGCAATACAGTCTTGGAAATTCGGCCAACTATTTGGGCACCATGCTCACCGGTAACGGTGTTCCCAACGATGTAATTGGCAACTTCAACTCCCTCAGTATTATTCTACTGGGGCCCGTTCTTAACGTAAGTCGTTCTGACCGTCCGACAGCCACCAGTCAATCAAAGCTGGAAATCAGTCAGGTATTGACACAGGGTACTGTAGTACGGCGTTTACCCTCTCTTGCGCAAGGGCAGAATCCATTACGGCCCTGTTGCTCGCATCTGTACTGGGTTTTTCCTCAGCACTCTTGGGGGCATCGGCTACGCCGTGCTCACTTATAAGGCGTATGAGACATCCCCTTGCGGCTGGTATGGCTCTTCCGATCCCAACTGTGTGGACATTGGTCTAGTTTCGCCCATTTCATTGTGGTGGGAGGGCATTCCATACGCATTGGGTGGATTTTCAGAGCTCTTTATCAACGTACCTGGTATGCTGCACTACCTCACTATTGTGCTTGTCGCCTGCTCGTTGTATACTAACATGGTGTTCACAGCCTACGGCATCGCTTACTCGCGTGCTCCAGTTAACATGAGGGGCTTGGTCTCAGCCATCAACCTCTTCAACACCGGTTTTGCCTATATTGTGAACCTCGCTGCTTCCGCCGCTATTGCCGATCCCCATTTGATCTGGGACTTTGCTGGGCCGGCCATCTTGGGAGCTATCGTGACCGTTAGTTTTGTACGTCCAAATCCATAATTCCCTTCAATGTTGCCTCATTTCGTCGGAATTAAGTCACTAATCTGTCTATAGTGGTTCATCTTCAAGCATATTGATAAGGAGGAATATGTACTTTCCACTACCCAGACTAGTGAGGCTGCGGAAGCTGAGGCCATTGAGGATACGGAGGCGGCGCCGACATACCGCCACTGATTTTAATATATTTACATGTATTAATAATATACCACACTGTAGCTGGACAAGTCGGCATGCAATGTATGATCAAGGGATGCATGTTGCTGTCAGAGAGAATGCGATTTCCTCGCTCACGACACCTCTACGCGACATTGCATTGCATTGCAAAAAAAAAGAAAAACAAAGAGACAAACAGACTGTCTCAACTTGCGTTAGTCATTCCGTGGACAGAGTATTGCCGGGCAGATGTATGCGAATTTTGCCCTGTGTCGACCCTACTCCCAAGCTTGAGCTAGATACCTGCAGTGTCGCAATAGATTGCCTGGCAGTCAACAAGCACAGCCGCAGGCGGAGATCGAAGTCGGAATACTTTTCCGGTGCACATATAAACTCTCATTCCTTTTTAAACGCAAAATCTTCTTTGACACAAAAGGCTAGGTTGCGCGAAATATTTCGCTTTCTCTGGCTCCGGTCCGGTCCTTCCACGGTGCCGTCTCGGATCTCCGAGTCTGCCACCACCGACGGCCCGGTGGCGACGTCTGCCAGCCCAATGATATTTCTCGACGCTCCGAGGCAAAGTTGCCTCATTAGGAAATAATCTTGCTCGCTAAGTCGGATTATCATACCTGGGCCACGTCATTCGACATCATTGACACGTCCAAGGCGACACGCGATTAGTAGCACACGAAATGTCGGAGATCAACTTCGGAGTTTCCACAAGTATTTAAGAACTGCGCTTCTCTGTCTTATTATGCACGGTGTTTTGGTGACATCAATTACCACTGCAATTTCTTCCGACGAGTCACATCATCCGCAAGTAGCACCAGTTGACATCTACTGTTATCCCAGCCTGTTTTCCCATCTCAGGAAAAAAAAAAAACGGCATGTCCTCCACAGTGACTACTTATGTTGTTGCAGCGGCCACTGTCGCTTGCACCACTCTGTTTATTATCGCATATCGGGATTACCGTGCGTATATTGCCTTTGGCCCTCACGGATTGCCCGACAACTTCTCGGGGTGGTGCAAGCAGCTTAAAATGTCTCGCATGGCACGTAAAGATACCACGGTTCCTGCGCCATACGACCTCCAAGTCGTGACAACCACTGCTGGACCCAATGCTACGAAATGCTATCTTTCAAACCCATTGGAAGTTCGCCCGGGTCCTAGACCACAAGTTCCCGGGTTCACCGCGCCACAGCGACAGGTTACAGCCACTGCGACTGCTGAGATGAAGCATCAAATGAACACGTACCTTAGGTCTTTGACCGAAGCAAATAAGGGAATAATCCAGTTTGAGCTATCAGTTCTTGAAGGCCCAGTGCCTGCTGTTCAGCTGAAGAAATGCCTCGATAGACCCCCTTATTTAAACCCAACCAGAGGTGAGATGGTCCACGTTCATCCCCCCGATGGTAGTACGCATCTTGTTCTGTCTTTGGCAGACTCCAAGGCGGTGATTGAGAAAGGTTGGGGCCAGAGGCACAGACTGAGCGGCGGTCTTCTTGGTTGGGGCTATACTCTGATCTATGCGCCCCGAACCCAGGCAGACTTTGAAACTTGGAAGGATCTCATTTGTGCTGCGGTAAATTACTGTTGTGCTGAATTTGGGGGTGTTGAGAACCCGTTGGGTAAAGAGTAATGGGAAGTTGTAACGCGCAAAAAAACAAAAAGCACGCAAGACGTTTGGAGGAGCCATAGATTACATGGAGAATTAGTGCCAAACCCTTGTTCAATAAAATTGTTCTTTGCTAGTGAGAACAACGTGTGCATATCCCGTGCAGTTTGTAACTAGTCACTGGGGAAATTTCAGGTTTAGAGACGATACGAAGCGCGCATCGTTGTCACGGACAGTCATATCTCTTTGACAGTTTCGTAAGGTAGAATCCAAGCAAAGAGAACTAACTTGGAGAATATTCTAAGGGTATTAAGTTATAGGACAAAGTACTATAGTTAGTCGACATAAATCTATTCATTAGAATTTGAAAATTCATTGCTATATAATTGAGATCTCTTCTATACTAATTAATAACTCGGATAAGAAAAATGAAGATACTATATTGTTAGCTAGCATATCTAACTAAAGCTGTTGTGCTGAAGCTGCTGGGAATCTTAAAATTGGTAGTTTATTGACACAAAGTGCCGGATCATGAATCCTTCGTATGCCGAAGCGGCAGCTACGAACATTGAGGAGAGGAAGTTTCCTTGGTTTTCAATCCATGTAGTCAGGAATCTCAGCCCTTCTTACAGATATAAAAGGTTGTAGATTCTTATGCTCGAGTCATTGATTGCGGCATTCGGCTTTATTGAAGTTGGCAGCTTTATTAGTGCTGGGGAGTTAAGCCTTGCTTTCTGAAGCATCGAGCGATACCCGTTAACCATTTCGGTGGTTAGTAGCAGCAATGCCTTTAGGCCTGCATTCCTCCGTACCTTCGCCGCTGCGTAGCATCCCGAGCATGGCCATGAGAAGGGGATTACATCTGAAGGTGCTCGTCCCGGACGACCATGGCCGGCAGAAAGTACACTCCATCATATACAACGAGTTGTGCCATGGAATCATTAAATTGAACTCCCGAATCATCTATCAAGATGTAATGCATCATCTGGCGGAAGAAGGCGCAGAGTGTCTCATCTTGGGATGCACAAAGATTGGGCTATTGACCAACGAATAGAAGAGCCAGTTACCTGTGTTTAATACCACATTGATTCACGCTACTGCAGTCTGTAGCAGCCGACTGGACCATGAAGGACCAGAGTCAAGTCCAGAACCTGGTTACGATAGACTATAGCGTCTCTACGAAATGGAATACATGCAAAGCGCCCGCGCTGAGCTAGCATTAGGCCCAGGAGTAACTTTACCAAACCCAGTTTATGGCTCAACCAATCGACTATGGATTTGAGACCGTTGGCCACTGAACAAAGCAGGGTTGCACTTGGACAAGGCTGGAAGACGGCACTTGGGACAACTCGGCCGCCGCAGGTCGATGCACCGGCCTGGGGGTTGCGGCCAACTTCTACATGCCAGTACTTAAATGGCTACGAGTGCCAACTGCTTTTGTCACCCTCAACGACTCCGGCTATCATCAACTCTGTATATCTTCCCAAGGCAGCCTGTCCGGCTAGGGAGCATTGAGCTATATCACCCTACCTTTCTCCGTCAGCGTATACCAATACCGCGTTGCATATGAATTGTGTTCACATACAGATTCCAACAGCTCCTGGAATCCTAGACGACTTACGGACGATGCGTGGCCAGCTCTGATCACACTAGCTTTGGCATATCCTGTTTTGTGCTCCTTCCTTCGTTTCCAAACCATAAATGCTCAACGAAAACAACTTGGGCTCAAAGATCTCGAGCCCTTAGCCAGGATGACAATAGTTCAAGCGCGATCCATCATCAAAAAGATGGCACAATGGGCATTTCCATTGATGTTTCAGATATCGCTTCGGCTTGCTTTATTCAAGGTAGCCTCACCGCAAAACCTAGGCCCCGGACACATGGTAGTAGCAGGTGATTAACAACTATACCAGACTTATGGAATCCCGATTATTTACAGCTTACTTGTAGCCACACGCATGTTTAGCAAACATGAAAATGCAAGCAAGCGATATGAAGATACAGCCGTTCTTATCGGAGAATCCATGACACATAGCCCAAGTGAGGAACGAACGCACCAAGCTAAGCACGAATGAAGTCCTTACACAGCCCTCACATCCAAGCGGGCGAAATTTGGAACCAAGACCTCCTCAGTTTCTTTATTACAGAGCCCATCAATTGGATCAATGCCTATGAGTGGCGGCGGCTCACGGATGTGGAGATTTACGTTCAAGGCGCCTTCTGGAAATCTATAGGCGATTGACGCCATGAACATTAAATACACGGGTTACTTGAAATGTGATTCTTGGGAAAATGGGATCGGGTCCTACAAAGACATCTCTGAGTGGGCTATATGATACCAGTTAACGTGTCAAAACACATGTTGCCTGCTGCCATAAACAAGTAAACGGCCAATGAGCATTTTGCATTGCTACTGAACTACGTCCCGAATCCATTTGTATCATTTGCCAAACATTGTATCGGCGCGCTGATGGGCGAACGACTCAGGACAGCCATGATGTAAGTCGCCCACTGCCTCTTGCACCATTTCCAGTGTATTCTTGTTGTCTTTACACGTCACTGCTCCCCGAGTCGGCTCTTGATTTACTAGCACGGGTCTTCATAGGCAACCTACACCATCGCCTGCAGCTTTTGTGATTGTGAATGGCAGTCTTGCCCTAGGGCGTTTTGTGTTGCGCTGTCTGGTATTTCCACGGTTTGCTGCGAGGCGCGAATTCACGGACATGGAGGAAGATCCAAAATCTGGACGCTATCGTCATCTTAGTTGCCTGGTATATCCGTACTACTCCACGCCCACCATCAGGGGTCGATGGGGTGTGCGAGCGTGGTTAACGCGGGCTCTTAGCAGAGTCTAGTTGTGCCAGGCGCTAAGGGAGGTGAGAAGGACATTACCGAGAGTTATCTTTTTACGGAAGTCGGCCGCATTCGGATGGGGGCATTGGTGAGGATGAACTCGGGGTTTGGGAATGCAAAGTTGAGTGTCTTTGTCTCTTGGATGCTCTTTCGCGACTTGATTAGATGAGCAGCAAAGCTATGGAAAAGACGGTTTTCACCAAACCGACATGTCCAACAAATTGGGTTGGCACACATGACTGACACCCTCTTCACCGAGGCGGTTGTGCGGCTGGTCCAGAACGTGTTTATCTATAGATTGAGACTCGATCCCCCTGAACTTTCATCACCTGAGCCATGATGCCCTAATAACTCGACGCGATGCACTCTACACCTGAACATGCAACTTATTTGCATGATACAACGACAGTCCACGGCATAATCCGACTCCACCCACGCTGGTCCCATAAAGGCTTGGAATCGAAATAATTCTGCAGGCGAAATGTCCTCGCATCAACACCTCTACCAATCCTGGTAGCAGATGCACTCAAATGGATTGGTGTGGTAACCGCAGTGTGGGTAAGGATCGCAGCAGGTATATTCGAGGCCGCAGGGGTCACCACAGGCATAGCAATCTGGACATTGCATAATCATCAGTCCGTACACTCGATGAATGGCCTAGTTGTAGAGCTCGCACTTACTGGCAGCAAGTGCAGAATTCTTGTCCAGAGGTATAGCTGGCTGTACCGCTACACCAGGCGGAATGGAGCTGAGGTCTGCATAAATCGTGAGCAAAAACCGAAGCCGCCCGCTACGCTGTCAATAAGTTGGCAGCGCACCTTTCAAACCGTCGTTGCCCTCGGGCGCTGGAGCACCCAAGACCTGAAGGCAGTGTACCACGAGGCCGAAAACGAAAAAACGCTGCATCTTGTGTTGACAGAAGTGTTTGTGGACTGGGGTATTCAGTGGATTCTTTGAATGGGTTGATTGATTCAAATTGTTAGATTGGTTACGTGGGCTCTCTTCACGTCTTTATACTTCGGTTTCAAGAGGAACGAGATCCGTAGTTCTTCTTCGAGATACAACTGTCTCAGCATCGAGACCGACAGCTAATCTACCCAGGGTACGAATCGATGCAGCTTGAATGACCTCTAGCAGCAATGTCAGACGGCACCTGACCAATATACATATCACGTAGGACCAAGCCCCTGGTATGGTCTCACCATGGAGGAGCCTGCAGCCAAAAGGTAATGTTTCCACCTCTCACTGCATATTCTGTTCTATTTTGACAGGTTATTTTTGTCGGATACGGTTAATTTGCTGAGCCGGTGTGCCAGTTTCTGCCAGATACTGAGCCCGATAACCTTCCGTGTTACACTTTGTGGGACAGAGCCGAGTCTAGAATTGATGAATGGTCTTCCCATGTGTCAATCTGAAGGCCCTATCAATGATTTACACATTGGATCCGTCGGGGCTCTACGTCGTGTGACATGTTGCTACACAGGAGACAGTGTGAAAGCAATTGCTTGGAGGGGCATCCAGATAACTGAGAAATACGTTGAGGTGTCAATCTGAACTTGCCAATTAAAGTCGGTCGCCATGTTGAACTGGCGCAGTGTTACCAGTACACTTCCTGTCAACGGGGTATAAGAGGCTCTGCTCCGTAGTATGCGTCGCAATTAGAGCATGTTGTTTTTGTGGCACTTCCTGTGTGCCGACATGTTTTGTCACATCTTTGTAACGCCTCCCTGTCGACGATTGGCCAACGCAGTCACACAATACACAGCAACGCCCAATGCAGTGCTTGTCTAACTTCGTTGTTGCGGCGGAAACTACAGATGTAGTGCTACGGCAGGCAAGGGCGGCTACTCTTCCCATTGAACGTTCGTCACTGTTTGTTGACTGTCAGACCGTAGGACAAAGGTGTACAATTCGTCGCACTTCTAGCAATCATTGCAGCAAGTGTTGATCCACGTGTGGTTATCATGCCGTGTTGTAAGGATATTGACTCTTGGCCCTTCTCTCCATGATAGAAAACGCCTTCAATCTTTCTAGTCGCATGTACTTGATCATATAACGGGCACCTCAGAAAGGCCCTTTCCGTAGCTTAAGCTATACTGAAAAACAGAACAGAAAGTCAAGTGCTCTGCTGCAGAAACTAGAGGAAGCATTTACGCCATGACTCATGTATGTCCATCCATTGCCTGAGGGTGTGCGTTTTGGGCATAGCATGTTGGGTTACGTGGGGTTTGTCGGTCCTCGGATGAAGCAACATATCTATTACCGCCGGGACTGAACTAGACTCTATCATTTCTTATACGCGTGCTCATCTCCGCTCACCATGCCCATGGTATGTGGGAGCAGCAACTCAAAACATGATGCGGCGCAACGAAGTAGTCATAAACCCATAGGCCAAATCACCACCATCACTAAACGCCCAGAAATGAAAACAACCCATTGACTCATTAAGCAGCCGCCATATCCACGTTCTTCCCCTTCACACTCTTCCACTCCACAAACACGGCGCCCGTAATTGCCGCAGACGCCGTCGCCGTCGAAACCCAAAAACAATTCGTGAGCGCGGAATTAAACGCCCTCACGATCCCGCCCAGAACCTTCTCCGAGAAAGCGGTTCGAATTCCTGTCGCGCCCACCGCGAGAACGGCCTTGGGGTCAACCTGAGAAGCAAACTCGTGCACAAAGTTCTCGAGACGGTTGGTGAACACGGTTTGGCCGGCGGACACGAAGAGCGCTCCCCCGAGTGACTGCATGAATATGATGATTGCCGTGCCGGTGGGCACGTCTGCCATGTCGAGGACAACCTGGACTGCGATGAGCGGCTGCTGCATGCCCATGCCCACGCCAGCCCCTGCAATGATTTGATATCCTATCCATGCGGCGGCCGAAGACTCAGCCGTGAGCGTGGACATGAGCCCGTAGCCAATGGGCATGAGAACGGCTCCTCCGATGATGAAGGGTGTGTAGTAGCCCCATGAGGAGACGATGGCGCCGCTGGTGACGGTGAAAATAACAACACTCAGCAGCATGGGGATGTTCATGACGCCCGACTTGACCGGACTCGCGCCCTTGACAGCTTGGAACCAAATTGGCAAGAAGTACACGGCGAGTAAGAAGCAGGCACCAATAAAGAACTCAAACAGTGACGAAGCCCAGACCGTTCGTTTCTTGAAGATGCGAGGTGGTACAGTTGCGTTGTCTTGCATTCGCCATTGGACGTAGAGAAACAAAAGGATAAGGACTGCAGCCAGCATGAGAAGAGACGCGATTCCCGCGCTGTCCCAAGGGTATTCGGATCCCCCCCAATGCAGGGCCAACAGAAGACAAACGACAGCCGGCAAGAAGACAATAGTGCCGATCGGATCCATTTGCCAAATGCGCTGCTTCCACGTCATGGGGACTTTTTTCCGCTTTGGGTCAGGAAAGAAGAATGTGATGACGGCCACTGTAACGAGGCCAACAGGAAGATTAATGTAGAAACACCATCTCCATGACAACCTATCTGTAAAGACACCACCAAGAAGGGGCCCAGCGACCGACGAGATCCCCCACATACTGCCAATCAAACCGCTGTAGATGGGTCGTTTCTCTAAAGGAACAGTGTAGGCGAGAATGGTGAGCGCTCCGGCGAAAATGCCGGCTGATCCCATACCAGCGACAGCCCGTCCAATGATGAGAGTCACGCTGTTAGGTGCGACAGCGCAGACAATGCTGCCGAGTTCGAAGATGCCAATGGTTCCGAGAAAGATCCATTTGATGCTCCAGAAGGTATAGAACTTGCCAAAGAGCAGTTGAAAAGATGACCCGGTAAGCATATATGCGGAACCGTACCAGCCAATGTCGGGTAGACTGTGAAACTCGTCTGTTATCCTTGGAATAGCAGTAGCTATTATGGAGTTATCTGATATCTCGTTAGTACATTCACTCAATTCTCAATAATTCACATATATGATTACCCAAAGCCATGACAAATACGGCAAAGCATAATGCAGTAATGACCAAAGCAAGCTTCATCCCAGTCGCATGCTGCATTCCGTCGTCTTCTATTGACGCCGTGTCGATGGCGGCATTTTCATATTCTGAGAACCGAGATTGGCGTTGTTGAAGCTTTTCAAATTCTTCACCTTGCCTCGGAACCATGCCAGGAACCATATCCTCATATCGTACTGCTCCGAGAAGTATACTTCCCCGTACAGAGTCTCGGATCGAATGACGAACGGTTGAGTTGGCTCTTGGTCGTGCAGTCACCTTTCCCAAGGACCTTAAATCAGTCTCAAAATTCTTCTCCAGGGACTTGAGATCGGAACAGAAACTTGTGTGTCCTGTCGACGGCAACTGGGTCTCGTCCTCGGATAGCCATGTCTTGATGCGATAAGCCATGGCATGAGTTTCACGGTCCTCCAAGAAATACTGGGATGAGTTCTCCAAAGAGTATTGTAGAGTGTCCCTGGGCAGCTTTACACTCAAGCGTGCCATATTTACAGCTTGTGACCGCCGTTGGGCAGCTGTAGTCATGCAGCGAGAAGCGGTGGTGGTGAAATAGCAGCGGTTTGGGCCACAATGGGAAAAGGTCACCCTTTTTAGTTTTAGGTACGAAGGGTCACAGGCGTATAGCAGAAAGCAAAGCGACAAGGATTTTTAATATACAGCTGGGGAAGAAGCATGTCGTTTTGCGGCAACGTCAGCCTCCGACAGCAAGTAGCTCGGAGGCCGGAGCGCATTCGGTGGACTTCCGACTCGCAAAGGGCCAGGCTCTGAACCTCTTTTGTATGCTTGCCGAGTCACCAAAGGTCGAACTGACTTGGCGGCTGTCTGTACTTGCCTCGCTCCTCGCTCTTTGTTCGCGTGGCGACAAGAGGGCCGCCGATTTCAACAGGCCTTCCCCCCTGCCACAGACAAAGAAACCCGCCCCAGCAAGTCCTGAGGTAGTGACCTTTGGCATCATTTCTGTGCACTCAGGATTCCAGAGCCTGAAAATCCAGATTATCCCTCGAAATTGCCACTTCCATGGCAATCTGCTTCGGCTTTGCCGCCCGCCGCCCAACAACGGAGGTCCACTCTGGCACTGCAAGTCATCCTGTCAAGGGAACATAGGCGTCAGACTACTGCAAGTTGAGACACAGTTTTATTTCTCTATTGAATACGCGTAGTAGCAGGCAGAGGTCTATAATCATATTGTGACTTCGCAACACATACGGCGCATACCTAAACGCCTCTAATACCATGTGGTGTGCGACCGCGGACCATGGCAATATATCCACCCGGCCAAGTCGGACTCTGCACCGTCTAAACGGAGAATCCAGTAAGTAACTGGTAGCATCCATTGACGGCATAAAAAAGGTCCAACACCATAAAGTCCGTGTGCTTGCCGTATCCTTCATTATAAGTCCGCGTCTACTCGACAGACCCAAAGCGATCAAGTGATAGATACCAATAACTCCCGCCAATTATCTATAGAACGATGCTTGGGTATACCGAAAAAAATAGGAAGGTAAAAGGGACCAAAGCTTTGTAATAGTATACTGTCGTTTGACTGCCTGATGCATAACTGTCGCTGCTCTCTACGGTGTGGTATCAGCCGAGGCTTCACGCTCCAAAAATGACGTCAGGCGCACTTGAGGACTGAGTCTGCGCGCCTCATCTTCCTCATCCGTGGCTCTGCAGGATACTGGAGTGAATTTCCGCATTCTTTTCGCACCCTTTCCCCCGCTATGCTTTGCTTCTTCATCCTGGACTTCGCTCGACCCCTTGTGACCAGGACAGCCTGCCTGTAAAGCGTTGCCGCGGGTCATGGCTGAGGCACAATAATCACTATGATTGACGCTGTTCTCTGCCATATCTGCCTTTCCGATGGCAATGCTCGATCCCTGTGGTATATACACTTGCTGCGACACATGCCTGCTTTCTAGGCGTTCTTGGGTATCTACAGGTCCGCCCATCGCTATCGTTGGAGAGGGGCCGGAGTGTTGCTGGTCGCGGTATTCCTTTCGAGATATTACTTCTGCGGCAGGTGCGTGAAATGCAGAATGATGCAAGTCCATGGGCAATGGCTGGTTCAACAACGAATTTGTCAAAGAGTCGGCCAGTTCAGACGGAAAGGATGTGTTATCTGTGGGGACCGGAAACGCAGCCCCTAGATGCTCTCGGGTTAGCAGGCTGCGCCTTTAGAACCCTGAAAATATCATATGCTTCAAATAGCCTACCCTCTCTTTTGTATTCAACGTCGGCGGTCGGCGCGTTGGTCGGGACTTTACATTGTGCGTTCTGCCTCCCATCCTCATCAGGAAAAGTTTCTGGGGCCAGTTGCTGTTCCACACCTTGGCTGTCGGACTTCGCAGGGATGTAGTCTGGCATGCTGACATCGGTGCTAGTTCTCCTTGTACTTCTCTGTGCAGCAGAGCTGCGGTTTAAGTTGAAATGATTGTCTCCGACGGCCGCGGTCATGCCCATGTCCATACAATTCAGCCATTCGAAATATGAGCCCGCGTTGCCAAACGGATCCAACCCATTTTCTGCAGGATACAAGCATGGTCCGTACACAGGATGTGTTACTCGTCGCCCCCCAGCCACAAGTACAGAGCTCGTTCCAGTACCTTGAAATGAATTCATAGCATGGCTCAATTTGTCAGAGCTGCTTCCTCGACGTTGAGGTGAATGGGCATGGGACTCGGAGTCGTCTGGTTGAAGCGTGGGGACTTGCATAGAGTCAGCAAACGGCGCTCTTCGCCACATGGAAGGATTCGGCCAAGCAATAGAAGAGCTCTCTAGAACTTCTGAAATACTGATTAGCAGGGTTCGACCCTCCATGACGAAGCTGCAGGCAACGGAAGTACCTAATGGGGCGTGCTGGAATGAAAAGGCCACAATATTCTTCACCCTTTCAAATGGTGTGGTAATAGAATCACGAGGAAATCCCTCGCTCAACACTAATTTGATACGGCCAAGGTCGTCAGCCGGACTCCAGAAGTTTTGTTGGAGCAGCTCTTCTCGAAAACCAGGGAAGCTGAGTGGTTCCAGGTCGCCACTTTTAGAGAAGTCTGAAAGTGTCAGTTCGCAAACAGTTATGCAAAATCAAGCATCCTTACCGAAACTGTGTGCTACAATATGTGGCCAGATACTCTCTCTGTCGAGCGCAGTAGACCTGATTCCAATCAACATAATGCAGGTTCTTGGGAGGAGGTCTTGGGGCGACGTACGCTACGAGTCTTCCGTCAATGAACAGTCGAGCCTCAAACTTCACATTCTCCGGGAATTTGCTGTATGAGTTGGTGAATTTACTCACGACCGGTGCATTCCAGGAGTGGATAGACACCCGAAAGGGGGTTCCCGTTGGTAGACTCGGAACAAAACAACAAACCGTTGGCAGGCCGAACGTGCCCCCAAGATGAGGGGATTCTAAAGGGAGTTGTGAGCCACAAATTAGTACTGTCGGACGTTTGCGCCCCAGGAGTCTTCATGGCACCATACCTGGATCATGGACAACATGGCAAGCCACTTTGAACTCCTTAACCGGTACCTTGCAGTTTTGTGGGAAGAGGAGAATGTCCCAATCTTCGTAACGCATTTTGAAGTTGAACACGACAAACGAGCGGCTTCGTCAATGATTGCAAGTGGACGTATTCTCCAAGTCAAATGATCAATGCAGATAACGTCAATGCCATGTCTCTGCGGTGAGAGACAGCAACAGGAGGAGCAATATTGGCGTTAAATCGAAGAAGTTGGCATCCAAGCTTCTCGTTGTAATCAAACAAAGGGATTCTCCAGCAAGGGAAAGCCGAGAATCGAGATACAAGCAAAACAAAACAAGAAAGCCGACGAGTAGCAAATAATCTATTGGCGTGGTTATGGCAGAAAGAAACAAAGCGAATACAACTTACCGCGATAATGTCAAGAATAAGGCACGTTCCTGCCAATGCAGCCTCGCAAGGGCGCTCAAAGAAGCAATGGTAAGCGAGCCAGGCATTTGAAAAGCATGGGATGCATGTGCCAACTCGAACGAACAGGTTACCTCTAAGTATCCAGGTAGGTACCTCTAAACATTGCATCTATGGAAGTGGCCTGGGGCTGTCGCGGCCTGGCACCACCACCTTCGAGTGTTTACTCAAGTCCACTTACCAGTTTGCAAAGTTGTCAGCTGTAGCTGTCGCTTTGCCGGCGGATCAACACGCCGATGGCATTCATTATCACCAACTGCCGGCTTGGCCAAGTACCATGGAATGCTGAACACGGTTCTTCGGCATTCAACAGATAGGGCCTATCTGTCCAGTCTTATCTTCATGAACAAAGGAAATGACAATTCTACCGAGTTTGGCCGCCTAATCGAGACATAGCCACACCTTGGGTGACCAAACTACTACTCAGAGTGCCAGCAGGAAGTGTTTTTTTATTGGTGTCGCTTTATCCCGCACCTAGTATATGTACAAGTCCACTTCTCGACTATCCCCAAGGTCCTCAAGGATCCTCATCACCTTCCCTTCGTGCCTGGAAAAATGAAAGCATTGCATTAGTCATCGTGTTTCACAATTTCACGTTGTCCTCCAACAGAACAAGTTATTTCACTTACCCGTACAGCTCCAGGCCCGCCCAGTTCTCGTTCCAATCCGGCTTCAAATTCGCGAGGATATGTGGGCTGATCGGGATACTTCAGATAGACGAGACCTGAGAGGCCCAGAAAGACAGCAACAAAAGAGCCAATCATGATCAAGCCAGGGCCCGGCTTGGTCCAGGTGTACTCATAGGGTGAGAATATACCGAGGACATCGTTATCCTCATGGATAGGTTCGCCAAAATTTCGTCGTTCCTGGGGGTCCCACCAGTTGGCGTAGGGGTCACGGAACTGTCGCTTGATTCTAGGAGGATTGATATAGCCGCCATTCTGCTCAAGTTCAATTCATCAGTCACATGCTGTCATCGTAGACAGAAGATGGTCTCGCGGGATGGGGGCCTGGACGAACCATGCCAGGGTCCTCGGCCTCAGACATCGTCTGGCGGTCGGGGTACTTGGCATCGAAAACCTTGCGGTCAGACAGAGAAGCGGGCAAGAATCCTCGTCGCTGAGTCACCGGAAGACATCGAGTGGTGGCAAGGTTGCAGCGGTGTGCGGATGACCGCACAAGTCGTTGAAGAAGCATCTGTTGGAGAAGCAGTCAGTGGTAATCGTCTGGGGAAAGTCACATGTCTACGACACATGTTCTCGCGGGTACTAATCAATTTTTCCTCGTACCTTGGGCCGATTGATGGTGTCGTTGGCGCCCAATTGCTCGCTTATGACGTGGTGTTTCTCTCCAAGTTGCTTTCTGATCAACTTGAGATCGCGCTGGAACAGGAATCACAGGTTGTTGCCTGTCGCTGCCTGGGGCATCAACCTAGATAACCGTCCGCCAACGGCAACAGACCATTTCTCCGAAGTGGGTCTCGAGCTTGGCGAGCACGGGGGGAAGGAAGCCTCGAGCAAGAACAGCACAGTCAGCACAGGACACAACACAAGGGCATGTCATCCAAGTCTCCATTTTCTCTCCATTCCCAAAAGTTTTGCTTGACAGGCGGCATTAGCTTACATTTTCCGCCACAACGCACGCCATAGGCCTCTGATCATGTTCAAGTTTTGTATGAATATTTGTTGAGACGCGACAAATCTCTAGACCATATTTTCTACCCTGCAAATGCTCGCCTCAACGAGATCACGCCCACTGCGTCTCCAGGCTCCACATTGCTATGATGCCCGAGACCGCGTCTCCCGACAACGACGTGTCCATCGCGGATCCCCAAGCCCACGAAACAGGCACCGACGCGAATAACTTGCACGAGGACGACGTGATAACGGCCGGGCTCAAGGCGAAAGATGTTTCTCATGAAGCCGACACGAATATGCAGGCGAACACGGACGCGCCGACGTACACAAATGGCCACCCGCCGCCGCATGTTAATGGCAATGGAGGGCAGGGTGAAGAGGAGGACAGCCGACCGGCGAAAAGACGACGAACTCGTCATAGTACCCCTCCGCCAACACCTTCATCGGCAAAGAAGCTGAAGCCCATATCACCCCCGTGGAAGAAGATTGGTGCTGAAGGGCCTACTAGTTTCACCGAGAATGGTCGTCGCAAGTCAGGTCGAATCAATACCTTGCCACTGGAACTTCAACCGCAAGGCCAGAAGAGATTGACTAGACAGTCGCTAGGGTCAAAGGGCTCTGCCACGCCAGCAAAAAAAGCAGATGCAACGTCCAACAGACCATCTAACGACAAAGTGGGTTCGCAGAAGAAACTCCCAGGGATGCCCAAATCGACATCTCGAAAGCCCGAGGCACCACCTCCCAGAACCTCCTCTCGATCTCTTCGGCGCCGCACACCGTCTCCACCAGGCCAGCCTAACAGACAATCCACGAGAACTCGACGGGCCCCCCGTGCTGCCAATGCTTCCGATGCCCAAGACGAACTCTCTACTCCAACTCATGACCCAACCTACCAATTTCACAATGCTGACGGACGATCTCCCCGGATAAAGTTGCGAGTCGGTCGCTCCGGTTTCATACCGCTGGTTCACGCAGATCAAGTCCGCAAGCGACCCAAAATTGGCACCAGCTTCGAAGATTTTTGGGCACGGGCTGGAACAATTCCAGTGGAGGATGGAGGGCTCTTTGCGTCTGAAGATGGGCCAATCTATACTGATGAAGCCGCCATGAAAGACGCTTGTTCGATTGCGCGAATTGAGCAAGAAGTTCAGCCTGGCGGCATTCTTTCACTCGGCCGCTGTTCAGCCTTTATTCCCGAAGAGGAAGAGGAACCCAGTAGACAATACGCTCGCCAAGATCATCTTATCAAAGCTATGGCAAATTTTCGGAAGCTGCTGCTTCTAGAACAACAACGACACCGCGCTATAGCAAAGAAACTTGCAGAAGCGTGCCGTGACGCGTGGGTAGATAGGCAACCCAAGTCAGCAGAACAGCTTGAAGCGGAAGCACGGCAGAAATGGATTGGCCACTATCGATATGTCATCCGCGCCATGCTAGGTACTTGGGAGAATGTCCGCGCTCAAGTTAACCGCCGTCGCCTCGAGCAATGGGAGGCGGAGGAGCAGAAACGTGTCAAAGCCGCTCTCAATGAGGCAGTGAACCTCTCAGAGCAAAAACTGCAAGCTCGTCGTGGGTTGGATTCCGAACAAGTGTCCGGTGATGAAGATGGTTTCGATGACCTCAGCGACGATCTTGACACCATGGACGATGACGGCATGGACGAATCGAATATGGCATCTGGCGACAGTGATGGTGACGAAGAGGACGGTCTTGATAGCGATAATATGTCAACATCAGAGGAAGAGGAAGAAGGTGTCGATGGGGGCATCAAGGATACCGGAGACGAAGGCCTCACACAGGAGGAGCTAAGGGCAAAGTACGCCAATCTCCCCGATCTCAAGCAGTCAGAGAAGCAGGCAAGCATTGATGCCACAGCAAGCGATGCCTTGGCTGATACAGACGTTGGCGGCGAGACTAGCGACGAGTCTGTTGACATGAATGATGATTTGGGCTCTAGCGATGTGGGCAGTGACGATGACGACAATGATGGCGATGAGGATGAAAGCGACGATGAAGAAGGTGGCGAGGATGCGGGTGGTCTGCTCGGCCTCTTGTTTGGCAAATCAGAGCTCAAGCAGATGAAGCAAGACGCTACAGGGCAAAGGGACGACGGCACTGATCCTACTGTGGCTTCTTCTGAGCTTGGTCATGATGCGAGAGAGGGCGATAATTCCACGTTGAAACAGCAACATGACGAGACTGCATCCCGAGTTTCTCTGCCGAGCGCAGATGACCAGCCATTCACTAATGGTCACGATCATACAGCGATATCTATGTTTGAGGATTCTGTAAATGCTGAAAATTCCTCAGCCGCGAGCCAGGACCAGGAGGGTTCAGAAATTGAACCTTCTGATCGCAACACAACTGAGATGGTCCCTCCACTTCAAGAGATGCAGGCTGGGTCACTAAATGAAGATGTGATAATGGCAGACGCTCATGACGAGGACGCTGCCCAGCCACAGGTTTCCACGCAAGCCGCAGACTTGGGTAAACCCTCCAGCCCAGAAACAGAACCAGTTACTAATCCCACCAGTCCTCGACGTAGCCAGTCGCCACCAACGTCGGACACAAAGCCCTCTGAAGTCGAAGCCTCGTCAGCTGAACTTGCTGTCGCAAAACCTTCAGGGAGTCGATCAGTAACCCCTCACACACCTTCGGCTCACAAAACTGACATTCCATTTCTCCTTCGCGGAACTCTGCGTGAATACCAACATGACGGTCTGGATTGGCTCGCTGGCCTTTACGCAAATAATACCAACGGCATTCTCGCAGACGAAATGGGTCTAGGCAAAACTATCCAAACTATTGCACTTTTGGCACATTTGGCCTGTTACCACGAAGTCTGGGGTCCTCACCTGGTAATCGTGCCCACAAGTGTCATGCTGAATTGGGAGATGGAATTCAAGAAATGGTGTCCTGGATTCAAAATCCTTGCTTACTATGGATCCCAGGACGAACGGAAGCGAAAGCGCCAAGGGTGGAATAATGATGAT